TTGCCATTTTGTTTCCTATTATAATCTTCTTTATTTTCTTTTTCGCCCTTTCTTCCTCCAACACGCAATCCGCAATGGAATCTTTCCTGCCTGATTTAAATGTACTCCACGTATCCACTTGTGTCTTGGTTCTATGCTATTCATCCTGTTCTTTGCATAAATCTCAATATCTGTCTCCCTTCTATTTTTATCTTCTTATCTTCCCTTCTTTTCTACTTCTTCCTTTTCTGCCTTTTCAAATCTCCACCACGCTTCCTCTATTCACAGATAGAAATCCCTTCCTTTTATTTCAACCATTCCTTTCTATTTCTTCCACTCGTTTCATCAAATAAATATATCTATTTTCACATCTGTTTCTATTGTTGTCATCTGTCATTTCTTTTACATCGTCTTTTTAGTTGGCAGTCTTCCCTGCTCCTCTTCACGAGTATCTTCCACATCCACCTCTTTTTCAACTTTTCTGTTCATCAACTTCCCCGTCATTTCTTCCATCAATATCCCGCTAGAGATTTCCCCTTTGCTTTCCCTTAATCCTCTTCCTCGATCTATATTCCTAACATCGCTGTAACGTTTTAATCTCCTTGAATCCTCTATAGCAGCGTTTCTCAACCTATGAATCTTGACCTAGTATTGGATCGTATGCAGTTTCTAATAGTTCGTGAAATAATAGCTGCAACCTTGAACCAACGCAAAAAGACCATGAAATGATTTAGGTCACGATACCATTACAAACAAGTATGTAGCGTCACATGGCAAAAGAAGTTGAGAAACACTGCCTTAGAATCCCTCATCTTTGTTTGCCTCACTGCATTTCAGAACATCGGCTTTCTTCCCTTTCCCTTTCTCCTTTTCTTCATACAGTCCACTCTCCTCTTTCATGCTACACTCACGCTATAAACCTCTTTCTCCTTTTTCTCGCCAGGTGTCAGGCCGCGTTATCTCCTAGACCTGTGGGTCCCACCAGATGTCGGAACTTTAATTCTTCCGCCTGTGGCTCCCTCCCCATTTTATCCTTAATACTCCTAACCTCTTACCTTTATTCCATCCCCTTTTCTCGCTGCTTCGCGTCACCATCTCACGCGTCGTCAGTCTATCAGCCTTTTCATTCTGCCCTTTTTTGTCCTTCGTCTCCCGCGTTTTATACACGATTGCTTTTTCCCTATCGCCTTCGTTTCCTTTACTTTCGCCACACACACATTTCCATGCATCATACTCTGAATATATTAACCCTTTACAGTCGAAAGTTTTTCACCAGAAATATTCAACATTCCCCGATTACATAAACAACAGTTTTTAAAAGTAGCTTAATGAAATGTCACACAAATTAAGTAACAAAGCTGTTTGATTTCAATGTTACACATATCGCATTATGCGAAGCTTAATATTAGATATCAAACTTTATAATTTTGCTGTATCAAGTTATCTAACGACTATGAGTTGCCTCTCGAGTAAAGGATTGACCCCATTTGGACGAAGAGTCTTAAAAGCGTTAAAAATTTTTTCTATAGAAAACTAAATTAGTCATCGAACTGTTGAACAATAGACGATAAGGAATCTATGCTAAATCTTTCTTTGTTTACATAATTAAATTTTCTGATTGGAACTTTCGGTTCTAGATACGTAAATCCAATATAGCCATTAGGAAGACACTCGTCTTCAGAAGAATAATGATCAGCTTGTTACCAAAGATTTAGTTCACTAATGAACAACATTTTTTACGACGAGAAAAAATAAAAAAAATTCAACAAACTGTGTTCAAAGATTCAATAAAAGATTCAATAAAAATTGTTTATTTACGGAATGAAATTTCATTATTGTATTATTTTATTCTGTGCTTAGAAAATCTATAAAATCGAATAACGAATAGTGAGGTCTATTTTGAGAATGAGTCACAACTCTAGCAAGAAATTTTGTTTTATACAATACTTTATCTAAAAGATATAATTTGGAAATACATACGTCAGTTGTTTGTATGATTTAGGATGCCTTGGATAAAGTATTTAACCATGACTCATAGTTTCTACTTCTGTGAATATTTATTTATACTGATCAGTTTCAATGAATGACGTCGACGATCAATATATATAATGCTACCATCAATGTATACCGCAAATAGACATAGTTTGTTATTAGATAAGGACGTGAGCCAAGTATTTAATCTGAAACCGCGACTGCATTTAATATGCAACAACGCAACGTATAACTACAAGTACAAATCATTGACATTTTTTTTTAATTTCTTCGTCTATCAAACGACAACCTTTTGATAACTACAAACCGTTACATTTTTTAATTTCATACACATATCAATAAGTACATAAATCTCCTTTTGAGATTTAGCCCTTTTGGATGGATAGTACCGAATGGACGATAAATTACTTAATAAATTTCAAGTATTTAACTATTCAATTAATTCCGTAATAAATTGAATTAATAAAAATTTATTTAAATATAAAAATATAAAATTGCAAATACGTGTATATATTGTTTTCATTCTATCAAATTTTGGTTATGTAACCAGAACACGTTGCCTTGGTACCAACGACAATTTTTCAACTGTTCGGATGTCCCTCAAAATCAATTTGGCTCTATTTACGTCAGCCAACCTCTGTGTAAACAGATAGCCAAATGATTCGTACACGATCGATTTCTCCCCGTATAAGTTAAAACGACTTACACAGAGATATATGTATTTACCTATGTGCTCAAAAGAGAAAGAGACCAATCAATATTCGAATACCTTTTATGTGGAGATTAATACATACTTTTAAACATTTTCTAACAAATATAAATTTTTAAGTATAAAATAAAACCTTTTTCGTTAGAAAATATGTATATTTAACGTCACGACGACAATTTTCGTAAAACTGTGTTTTCAGAAAGAGACTTTCTACACGGTGATTGAAAGTATTTTTTATTCTTATAAAATTATTGACAATGAAACTGTTTGATACGATCTTTTGTTGATGAATTTCCTATTTCTCCATAAATAAAGATTTGAAACGCTTATAAAAAAATATCTTTACGAAATTTGGACAATTACATTGTGAATAGCTTTATAAAATTTTAATCAAATGACAAAAGTGGTTACAGAGATCTAATATAGATTTTGGGAATAGTATTTTAAGAAAAACGCGTTTAAAATTTGAAATGGTAAGTTTTATAAGATATAATTTTTACACAATATTTATTTTCATTTCCAGAGTCATGTACCTAGTAATATTTTTAGTAACACAATGGAAAAATGTATAATATCATACATTTGAATTAATTGATTATTCTAACATGTAAATTTAAAATTTAATGATCTGAGAATTTTGAAGTGTTAATTTAAAATTTGATTTATTTGGTAATTTTAACTTTATCGTCATAGATACTATTATTTTCTTATTGAATAAACATATTGCTATATATGCAACAATATAAGTAAACAAAGGACGCTACGTATATTTTCGTTGTTTTTCTTTGATTAATTCTCCACTACCGCATTTAATAACGTTGGCTTACTGAAATTTTCATAAACCGATGTCATTGAAAAGTACATTTTTTGGAAGAGTTTGGAATTAGTTTCAGCATATAGAGTTCCATGCCAAGCGACCCTGACCTGTTGGCTTTGAACCGCCATAACTTCGTTACTCATTTCCGAATGAGACTTCGCTGGAAACTTATATTTTGGAAAGCAATCAATTTTGAAGAACCAATTCTTCGAAATCAATGAATAACTCTTAATAAGACCATTCTTAACCCTGCTGTTGTCTTCGTGCCTATTTGATCCAATCATATTACCATTTCCTCTGCACCAATCTGTTTGTTTGACCTTTTCTAATATATTCGCGTTTTCATTTTGTCAGGGATGTTTTTAAATTTGAAAATAGCACAAGAAAATTGTAACAGAGACTGTAATTGTACAAAACAATTGAGAACCACATGAAGATTAAATACTCTCATAAAAGCAAATCACATAGACAGTAAATCTTCAAAAAAATGGTCTAAATTATTTTTATACTATAAAATAATGAAATAAGAATAAAATAAGAGATCAATGTTTATAATATTATTTTTATATTATATTAACACTATTGCAATCACGAGAATTATTTTTTTATTAAATTAAATATTAATAGGCTTAAATGGATAAATATGTATTCTATCATTAATTACCTGTTTTCATTTCCTATTATATTCCTACCCTAGTATCCAAATTTTCGTCAGATATCACATACAAAATCAGAATTGAGATAATCAATTTTTCCATTGTAAATATAAATCTAACTTAAATGCATATCGCAGCAAAAATTGTTATTCACGCGGAAAATAAGTATTATAACATTTCCTTTAAATGCTCTATTGCTGGGAACTCAAACGAGGTCAAACTGATCACTTAGAATTTCAGGCATTGCGAGCTAAAGCACCGATAAAATTTGTAGAAAGTGATAAAAATGGTGATCTCTCTAAAGTCGGTCGTTCTGATGACCCAGC